TTCATCACCATAGGCTCTTGCTCATATGTTGTTTCATGAAATTCGTCTGTGTCTTCCAATTCCTTTCGATACAGTGACTCAGTGGTTTCTATACATCCATAAAACTGTTTTAGGCATTTTAGTTGAACCAAATGAAGCCAAGGTCAAAGACTTCAGTCTTCAACATGGACTACATCTCAATATCAAGAAGACAAAAATCCTCACCACTGGATCAATAAGCAACATCATGATAGATGAAGAAAAGACTGAAGTTATCAACAATTTCATCTTACATGGATCCACAATCGACACTCTTGGTTTCAGCAGTCAGAAAATGAAATGAGGTACTGTATTGGGCGAGTCTGATTTCAGGGACCTCTTCAAATTACTGAGGAGCAGTAATACCCATTTGAAGACTAATGTGCACCTGATTCAGGTCATAGTCTTTTCAATAACATGGCATGTAGCAAAGAGCTGGATAATGACTAAGGAAGATAGAAGAAGAATTGATGCCTTTGACTAGTGGTGTTAGAGATGAGTATTGTACATCCCATGGACAGCCAAATGAGAGAAAGTGCAGCCAGAAGGTTTCTTGGAGGCAAAGATGACAAAGTCTCATTTCATATATGTTGTGCATGTTGCCAGGAGACACACATCATGCTTGCGAAAGTGAAGGATCAGCGATAGAGACTATCAACAAGATAGATGGTAACTCCAACAATGGGTTCAAGATGATGAGGATGGTGCAGACTAGGGCAAGATTCAGATCTCTTGTTCACAGGATTGGTATGAGTCATACTTGACTCGGTAGTACTTAACAACAATGAAGAAAAAGGAGGAAAATCATTATTTCAGTGACCATTACTATTAGAGCTTCTGGAAAATACTGAATTTTTATTTGTTTTCTTTCATTGGTGCTATCTTTGTAAATTCTAATGGCATAAAACTAAACATGTGGTGGGACATACCCTTTTCTACCACCCCAGCGATAAATGGCAGAATATATATTTGGAACATAATATCTGACACCAATACTAATTACAAATTTTTTTATTTGACTCTCTCATTACTTAAGAGTTTCTAACCATATTGTGTGTATAGAACCCATGCTTCTTAATAGGACCAAAATCTATCAATATACTTCCCTCCCTTTTTTTCACAGAGCCTTGCACTCTATCCTTTGCTGAAATGACAAAGAATAATTTAATCTTGAAATGGGAGTTTGACAACAGACCATATATTTTTCATGGCGAGTATATTGAGTTTCTTTGTCAAGGAAATACTTACTTAGCTGTGTTATCAGGATCTGAACTTAGAGTGCAGTGTAGTAATGGACAATTCAAATATCCAAGGTGCATTCCGAGATAGAGGTAAGAAACTACTTGTATATACTACCGGTTGACTCTTTTGGTTATGATGTAATTCAAGAGATGCTTTGCATTTTAAGTCCCAGAAATATTGGACTCTACAACACTATCTATTCACTAAGCCAACAAAGATATTTAGCTAAAATACTTTCTTATTAAATACTTTGCAATTTTGGAAAGACAAACAGGTCGTATTTTTTAAAAATTCAAGTAAACACGTGGAATTATTAACTAACTTAACAAACTTTTTAAGCTATCTGAAGTTTTTTTGTCAGTTGACATTCATGTTATTTTGGCAATTCAGTACATAATTTATTTGTGAAGTGTACTTAACTGTGTAAGAGTGAACCTGTCTCTTCTGAGATAAAAGGAAATATTCTTTCTCCTTCATTTAAGTATGTGCATAATTGATAAATGTTGAGAAAACAACTCTACAAACCTCCTGTAGAAATGATAAAAGAGTGGTATTTATTTTCATAATCACACTTATATATGCAAATTTTGGATAACTTACTAAAGTGTTCATCAAATGACACATTTTAAAATACGAATAGAAAATATTTGTGGAAAATGATAAAATGACTCCATATATAAATAATTTTATATAATCAGGATTGTGACTCTTTTGTATATATTATATAAAATGGAAATTATACTTTATGTTCAAGTGTGAATACTTTAAAAATAACAGAAAAGTATATATGGTACTTTTTTGTAACTGTAAAATGAACTATATTAACTACATAAAATAGCTTTTTAGGTACTTTAGCACTCTAATGATAAAAATATTCACAAGCTACACACAGGTAGAAAAATGTATTTCTGTATGTTCTTTTAAGCTTTAGTATATATAAGT